ACTTGAGTCTAACTACTTATAGGTGTTTGGGACAGAAACAGGAACCAGAAGTCACACAGGGTGGCAGTGTACAGGAGTCCAGGCCTACCACAGCCAGAGACCACACGCCGTCTTCATAGTCAACACGAGGAAAGGGCAGGCCCAGGTTGGAACTGCTTCTTGGTAAGTTCTGTGGTTTCCCCAGGGTATGTCAGCCATGAATGCATTTCGAAGTGTTCTGTGCTGTGTGGCTTGGAAGCTTGACAGCAAAGGAAGTCCCACAAATACAGGATGTCTTAGTCAGTGTTCTATTGCTCTGAAGAGACACCATGGTCCTAGCAGCTCTTTAAAAAGGAAAGCATTTAATTGTGGCTTGCTTACAGTTTCAGAGGTTTAATCCATTGTCATCAGGTAACAGAGTGCCCGAGAAGGAGCAGAGAGCTTTACATGTGGATCGCAGGCAGCAGGAAGAGACAGACTTTGGGCTCGGAATGGCTTTTGGAAACCTCAAAGCCCACACCCAGGGACACTCTAACTCCACCATGACCACACCTCCTAATCCTTTCAAATTGTGCCACTCCCTGATGACCAAGTATTCAAATCTATGAGCCCATGGGAATCATCCTCATTCAAGCATCCACACAGTGCATTCACTGTTTAGGACACACAGTGGTGGCATCTTCTGCTTTATGACAGAGAGGTCACCATAGTCAATGACAAAGGAGAAGAATCCAGAAAGACAAAGGCCTGTAGAGGCCCTTGGGGATCAATCAATGATGTCCTCAGAAACCAATAGGAATCAAAACAAAACCTCAGATAGAAAACAAAAACACATCCCCAGATTACATCTTGTGGAAAGCTAAGTGTGGTGTGAGCTGCCCAGGTCCGACCATAAGTGAGATGGACTGCAAACCACAGGAAGCATACAGTAAATAAAGGACAGTAGACTGGAAGCCTCAGGAAGACCCCATCTGGAAGAATGACCGACGTTAGGAAACTGTCCTCAAAGCACTTTGTGGAGATCAAGAGCTGATGTAAATGGGGATGAAGATGGGCAGGAAGTTAACACACAGAGCCTTCAGAAGAGCTTGCAAAGCGTGTTGATAACATAAAGCCCCTCATAAAAGATCCACTTTACCCTTCATCACAATCTAGTTCTTCAAAAATTAGAAATTAGGGGATGGAGAGATGGCTCAGTGGTTAAGAGCACTGACTGCTTTTCCAGGGGATCCAGGTTCAGTTTCCAGCACCCACATGGTGACTCATAAGTGTCTGGAACTCCTGGGAATCTGACACCCTCTTATGGCTTTCTGGGGCACCAGGCATGGTATGTTGCATGGACACACATGCAGGCAAAGCGCCCATACACATAAAATAATAACATAATTTTAAAAATTAAAATAGAAATCAGGACTAGGGAGGTGGTTCAATGGCTTGATCCATATGTGTAAAGACATGAGTTCAAATCCCCAGAACTCACATAAAAGCCAGATATTTCAGGGCTGTCTGCAATTCCAGCACATCTGCAGCTCAACAGGAGATGGAGACAGGAGAATCCAGTAAGATTCACCATCCAACCAGCCTAGTGGACACAGGCAAATGAGAGAACCTTCCTCAAACGAGGTGGGAGGTGAGGACCAACACCCAACATTGTCCTCTGCTCTCTGCACATGTGCCATGACACACACACACACACACACACACACACACACACACACACACACACACTGCATCCACACACACATACATGCTGTATTCACACTCACATAACACTGCATTCACACACACATGCACACTGCATTCACACACACATGCACACTGCATTGACAAACACACACAAAAAACACAAAATTATTTAATTTTAGAAATGACAAGGAACAAACATACTAAAAATTAAGTCCATGTCATGGAGGAAGAGTTGGAGACAGCCCTTAAGGATGGAAAGTTACAAATCCGAAAGAGGGAAACATGGGGTGGTGAGAACTGGGGCGGCTAAGGTGCCTCCAGTGGAGAATACTTCTGCCTAAAAGTGGAGACAGACACAAGAAAAGAAGCCTTCTCTGAAGAAAGATAGACGAAGCTCTGTTTCTAGAAGACTGTAGAACTGTGGCCAAAACAAACCAAACAAAAACTCATGCCAGGCCTGGAGGGGCAGGCCTGTAAGCTCAGCTACTCAGAAAGCTGCAGCAGGAGCTTCAAGGTCAACTGATTGAGATGCTATCTCAAAATTAAAAAGTGAAAAGAGGTCTGTGAGTATAGCTCAGTGGTAGAGAGCTTGCCTGGTAAGCAGAAAGGTTCAAAAATTCTAGGTTCAAACCCAGGCTCTGCAAGCAGAAATGTAAAACCCAAGAGGTGTTTGATTTTGTCACTGGCTTCTGGTATCGCTTTATTTGAGGATGCTTTTTTTCTTACAAGGTCAAGACTGAAATTCAAATTTTAACTTTGTAGAAGAGAGAACTCAGCAAACACAAAATATCAACACCAGGTGGATCATCTCCACAGTCTCCTAGGATATTTAGCAAACGTGTGGAAGAAGGACTAACATCTGAATAAGGGTGGTGAAAAATACAGCCGTGGAAGGAGAGGGAATTTACCAGGGTGCACAGGAAGAGCAGCCCATTCCCACTTATTAGGGAGAATGCAAACACACATGTCTGCTGCCCTGCACTCTGGCTGAGGGAGGGAGGACTCCTCATCTCCTTTGCTATTGACAGGGAAGCGCACTGACCCTGCCTCCTCCACACAGGCCATTAGCAGCATCTGTAGACAAGTGGTCACTGCTGCCCTTTGACTCAGGAACTCCACTCTTGTTTGTTTTAGACCCAAGACAAGTGAAAGTAAGCAACATGCACTATATGGCCACTGTTCTCACAGCTTGCTGGTGACAGTGAACTGTGGTAGTGACCTAAATGTCCATCAAAAGAAGACTGGTTTAAACTCAGGGTAAGGACTGGCAAGATGGCTCAGTTAATGAAGGAGCCAGCAACCAAGGTAGATGACTCCGGTTGGATCCCCAGAAACCACAAGGTAGAAGGAAAGAACCAACTCCTCTACGTTGTCCCCTGACTCCATGACACATTCATGGCTGTGCACACATGCACACACAAGTAAACATAATAAAAATTATGAACCTCTCAGTTCATATACCAGTCATCTTAGTAGTACCAGGTAGCCAGTAAAAAGAACAAAGCAAATGTACATGCTTTATGGTGAGGACTTCACAAAGGTTCCTACTTTTTAAATACTCTAAGTCTCAAAACACAGAACACTATTATAAAGTGAAAATACACATTATGAAAACGAGCTTTGCACAGAAAAGCATAGGAAAAGCTAAAGAGGCTGGAGAGATAGGTCAGTGGTTTAGAGCACTGTCTGCTCGTCCCAGGGACTGGAGTTCAGTTCCCAGCACCCATGTCTGGCAGCTCAAGACTACCTGTAATTCCAACTACCTGCAGGGGCTCTGACATCCTCTTCTGGCCTCAGAAGGCACTTGCTCTGATGGTTCTCTCTCTGTGTGTATTTTTCTGTGTCTCTGTCTCTGTCTATCTTTCTGTCTCTCTGTGTGTGTCTCTGTCTCCTGTCTCTGTTCTCTCTCTCTCTCTCTCTCTCTCTCTCTCTCTGTCTCTCTCTCTCTCTCTGTGTGTGTGTGTGTGTGTGTGTGTGTGTGTGTGTGTGTGAGAGAGAGAGAGAGAGAGAGAGAGAGAGAGAGAGAGAGAGAGAGAGAGAGAATATATATATATTAGAATATAAAGAAGATCGAAGATCAAGGTTCATACCTTTAATGCCAGTACTTGGGAGGCAGAAACAGATCTGTATTGTGAGTCTCAGGCCAGCCTGTTCTACATAAACAAGTTTTAGGACAGCCTAGACTACATAATAAAAAGACCAAGAGACCCTGTCTTAAATTTAAAAAGAAAAGAAAAACAGGAAACTTGAACTCAAGACGAAGAGCTATGGGAATGTGTGTGGGGAACAGTTAAAGTGGTTTTACTCATTCTGTATTTCCACAAGGTTTGAAAGCTTATAAACCACATTCTATTAAGAAATGGGCCTGACGGTGCAGGCCTGAAACCCCAGTCTCTCAAAAGACCCAGACAACAGGATCCTGTACAGGTTCAAGGCCAGCCTGAGTAACTTAGCAAAACCTTGGTTCTAAAATCTTTAAACTAGAGATATAAAGTCAAGCATATCGAAGGCCCTAGTTTCCACTGCAGTACTGGGACAATTGCACTGCTTCCTTGGCAGTGGCAGGCACACTGACTAACATTATTTCTGAGCAGCACATCTGAGCTACCACTGCTGGAGCACAGAGCTCTACCATTTCCCTGTTAGAGGTATCATTGGCCCAGGACAGACACTGTAGGGAAAATAAACCCACAGCTTGCCCTGGCCTTTGCTATCAAGGGCCTTTTATGTCTTCCTTGGATCAAAACCTGACAGTGAGAGCTCAGACCAGGAATGGCCCCTGGGACAGCTTCCTAGGTGACAAGTCCTTCCAGACAGGTAGGAGACCAGGATGGGGGCGGGGCAGCTGTTTACACTGAGCCTCTGCTATCTGACCTTCTTCCTGAGGTGACTTAGGAAAACAGAGAGAGGCAGAGGGCCTGAGAACACTCCGAGTTCATGAGGTAACTCAGAAGCATGCCACAGAGGTCCCCAGGAGTCCCTGACGGCTGTGACCAGAGTCTCCTTCTGACAGCTGAGCAGTGGTCACAAAGAAAGTTGTGACTGTGTGCATCATGGCAAGCTAGCCTTATATCTCACCCAGGGTTGAAATCTCCAGGTGTTCTCTGTCTACCTGTCTCTGTCTCTGTCTGTCTCTCTCTGTCTCTGTCTGTCTCTCCCTCTGTTTCTCTGTGTCTCTCTGTCTCTTCCCCCAACTTCCCCTGGTCTCTCCTCTTCTCCAGGGCAAAAGTTCTTCATGTCCCAGGTTTGGACTGACTGAAACTGCAGCCACTAAATCAAGACATGAAATCACCCGTGTTGTCAGAGGGAAAAGGTAGAGAGGGAGAAAGACGTACCTGTTCCTGAAGCTGCTCCTGGGGCCTAGGAGGGTGAGCTCTGGTCCCTCGGCCTCCTCACAGGCTTCCAGACTGTCAGTTGTGGCCCACAGCTGAGAGCAGGAAGTCAGCCTGACTATTAACTCACCAGGGAGGACTCCGCCCTGATGGAGAAAAGAAAACGAAAGTATTTCTCTAATCTCAAATGTGCTGTTGTGAAATACTGTCCCTTCCTTCTTTCCTGAAATGTGGTGGCAGGGAGGAGGAGAAAGGGGGGGACCTAGTGGATTACCAAGGGGCCCACCAGTGACAAGCAGGGCAGTTCCTAGGAGTGACCTCCTTTATGCAAAGATGAAAAAAAAAAACAACAACACCAACACCCTCCACGCAAACCCAAACTGTCCTCAGTTACCCTGTGTCCAGGGCAGTAGAGTTTCCCCGGGGTTGACTGTGATCCCATTCTTTGTCTGGTCCTTGGCTGAAGTGGCTTGGGGGAGAGAGAGATGGGGAAGGAGGGCCAAACACTTCCCAGTTATCTCTCCGACTAGCAGGAGAAGCCAGAGCTGGATCCTGACCAAGAGATTTCCCTCAGACCCCGAGAGAAGTGGGGATGGAGGGGGAGATCCCCCAACTTGATAGACGCTTTGGTCAGAGCATTAAGTCTGAGGACTTGTCATCCCAGCCGAGAAGTCAAGGGTGAGAGGAAGCTGCCACAGTGGCCACCAGGGCATAAGGACAAAGAACTTGTCCACCCTTCTGAGATGTGGACCTGGACAGAGATGGACAGACAGACATCTCCAGGGAGTCCTAGGAAGCCCCTCAGTGATCATCAGGATACTTCAGGTTCCTCTCTGTTCCTCGTTCTGGAAAGACTTTCTCTGAGGAACTAGGTGGACTGGGGTGAGCCTGCACCCTGTCAGGTCTCTCACAGTCTTCTTCTCTGCACAGACCATGGCTCTGCTCTCATCCCTTAGCTCAAATGCACAGGGACAGGCTGGTGTGGGGCTGGAGTGGGTGTGACTGACAGCGTCAGCCTGAGGCCAGGCCTGGGGTAGAGTTCAGGGCTCCTTCCATTGTCTCCCATGTTAGCCACGTCTCCAACTCTACTTCTATCAGGACTAAACATTTTGAAATGATTTTATTTTATCATAAGATATGTGTATGTTTCTGTATGGGGGTATGTACACATGAGTTCATGTGGCTGAAGATACAAGAAGACAGTGTGGGATCCCTGGAGCTGGAGTTATAGGCAGTTGTGAGTCACCAGATGTGGGTGCTGGGAACCAGAACCAGGTCCTTTGTAAGAGCAGAATGCACTCAACCGCTGAGCCATCTCTAGCCCCAAGCAGTGTTTTGATCCTCATTCTGTCTCTTCATTTTTCCTATCTGTCAGATGGATTATGACCAAGGTTGGGGAAAAATGATAAATCTGGGGCTACGAGGCCCTAAACTTGTTTAGGCCTAAGCCTATCTCTTCCCTCAAGTTCCCTTGTACCTGGGAACAAGGTGATTACAGAGGCTGGAAGCTCTGGCAATTCCATAATCATGAAGCAATTATCCCCAGGGCCTGGTGGGCTTTGAGTTGCAACATTTGGGCTCTGAGAGACTCGGTTGAGACTGAGACAAAAACACTAACAGCCAGACATCTGCCTAGAACCTCCCAGAGTCAGGTAAGGGATGTGAAGCTTTGGATGTCACAGCTTCGAAGTTTATGAGCTGCTGGGAGATAGAGGAGGAAACATGAATATTTCTGCTGGGAGGTGTGAATGGGAAGAGATTCCAATGCAGAGAAGGAAGAGGTCAAGGACAGGGGCACACAGGAGGTCCACTTGGCCATCTTCTGAAGATCTGAGGACTATCCATGAGAAACACCTTTGAAGAAGCCCAGGGTCCTGATAATGCAGCAGGAGGAGGCAGGATGCTGGTCCAGGGCCTCATGTCTGCGGAGGCCCTACCTCTAGTCTGCATCATTACCCATAGCAACTCAGTTTAGCCCCTGTGTCATCAAGTAGACAAGGACAGAGATTCCATGTGTCTTGGATCCAGGCGGGAGACCCAGAGACTCTGCAGCCCATTGATGTTACACATGCCTTTCTTCCACAGTCCCCTGCCCCTGAGGCTGGCCGTGTGTATGCCACACAGCAAGGAAAGAGTTAATGACCTTCTTCTTCCTCTTCCTCTTCCTCTTCCTCTTCCTCTCCTTCTCCTTCTCCTTCTCCTTCTCCTCCTCCTTCTTCTTCTCATTATTATTATTATTATTATTATTATTATTATTATTATCATTATCATTATTATTTTATTAATCTTTTTCTTTTATGTGCATTGGTGTTTTCCAGTATTAATGTCTGTATGAGGGTGTCTGATCCACTGGACCTGGAGTTACAGTCAGGTGTTAACTACCATGTGAGTGCTGAGTGTTGAACCCCAGTCCTCTGGAAGAGCAGTTACTGTTCCTAACTACTGACCAAGCCATCATCACCATCAGGAGTAACTAGCCACTTTTTGACCAGACTAGGCTCCAGCTAGAGCTACACCTCCCCCTAGTGGTTGTTACAAATAGTAGTCTCCTTAGACCTGGATTCTACTCCCTTTGATGGGAACTGAAAATGCTTTTCAGGAGCTGTGGAAACACTTGGGACTGCCAGTAAAAGTTCTCAGTAATGACATAATCTTAATATTTCACAATCCATGAGCGTAAATGAGTTTTGGCTTAAACAGAGACTCTTGGTTCAAATTGTCAGGGAAGCACTGTAAAGCTGGCTCATCAACACCTCCTGGAAAAGCCCATCTTTCTTCCCAGAAGCTACATTCACCTTGTGAGCACCAGGAAGATCCTATCCCACTGGAAGTCAAATCATTGTGTCTCTCACCCTGAAGTCTTGTATGGTGAACTGGAGTCTCCTCCAAGCACATAGGTTCTCACTGGATCATGGTTTAAAACATTTCAGAGGCTTAAACAGTTTCAAAAATAGATAAATGGCATTTAAAAGAAGAAATAGGGTTTGAAGAAGTGTTTCATGTGAGACCATCAGAAAGTACCCTGAACCCCGACTTCATACACTCCAGTATCCCATGGGGTGATCTTTACCATCCTCTACATTAGGGTTCTCTTGAGTCCACACAGCTCTCTCCAAACGGAATGGAAACCCCCTGGATTCCGTATACATTTTATCTATAGCCTATGGCTCTCTCATTCATAAATCCTCTTAGTGGATGTTCACCCCATTAAGTGTGGAGCCATGCTGAATGAAGGGCATTGGGTACCCCTGGTAGCTTCCAGTCCAAGCTATAGTGACACCAGTGGTATCTCTCAACCTTGCCTACAAGAATCAAGTACTGGAAGTTTGGTCCTTACAATTGAGTTAATTTGTCAGATACAGCTTGAATTTACCATGTGTCTGTCCCTCAGATATTGGTGTAGGGTGAAAGCTTAGGGGCAATTCTTATAATTCCCCAGTAAACACAAAGGAAAATCAATCAGCCTGCTTCCATACAGGGCTCTAGGCAATGCAAGACATGGGAATCCAATGCATATGTGTCCCTGTTTCAGTCCCATTCTTGGAGACCCAGAGCAGTGGCCCCAGGGAGAGCCAGAAGCTATCACTGTGCCATCCTGTGGCTGTGATTGGTACTCCTAGAACCTGAAGGTCGAGCTTCTGTATCCCCCACTCTGCTCCTAGTCGGTCAGGTGTAACTCCTGGGAGGTGAGGCACACAGGGAACAGCATATGGCCTCACCTACTTACCCCAAGGCAGCTCTGGAAGGATGCCATGAAAAGGTCACCCCCTTCCCTAATCACATCACATCCTAGTTTCTGTCTACAATATTGGCAGGATTGTTGATAGAGGAATCTAGAATACCCTGGCCCTGTGTTAATCCACCCAGGTGAGAATAAGACCATTACCATAATTTTGAGCCAAATTTGAAGCAAGCTTTAATTTAATAAGGGCCAGGATGATGGGCTCTGGCCAGGACCTTTCCTGAATTCCCAGAAAATGGCAATGATTCACATTTTTCAGAGCCTTAAAAAGGCAACCCCATAAGGTCATCAAATTTCCCATCACATCCAATCAGAGGCAAGCATACATCCTGAAGTATTTTCTGCCTCCATACCTCCAGCCTACATGTGATCAAGCACATCCGGTACAGTTGGGTCAAACAAACTTGTTTAAGGGATTGACAGTCTGTGGCTTGTTTTCTCCCATAAACAATAGCTTCTGGCATTTTGGGAAGTATCTGTCTTTGGCCAAAAGTTAGAGGCAGTTTTGTTTCATGGAGCTCTTTGGCACAGTAATTAAAACTGAAAACATAATTTTGGCTGTCACACTGGCCCAAACCAGCAAATACTTCTCCAAACACGCAGTGGGACTTAGAGAGAAGCTGGCATGAACGGTTCAGGAGAGGGAACTCCAGTTGAAGGCAGTCCTGGAAGAAGGTGCCTGTCAGATGGGAGACTGTAGGTCAGGAGATCTGAACAGAAGCACTATGGAACGACCTGGAAGGCACTGGATAAAAGGGTTCTCAGGTTCTGGTCAAGACTGATTGGGTTGGCAGTTACCTACCAACTTCTGCTTAAGCCAGAACTGGAAGGCTTTTGTTAACAGCAGAGGGTGCACGTGATTATAATGGCTCAGATGGCAAGCAGTCTGTGTCCAAAGGACAAGGCTTAGTTCTTAGTTCAGACAGAGTTCTGTTTACCTGACCTTTGGCTTTCTCTTTTCTGAAATTTCCTCTTTACTCTCAAGAAATCCTGGTTGTTCTGGGTTTTGTTTGTTTGTTTGTTTTATGCTTTTTGTTTTTCCATGACTCTACCCACAAGAAAGTCTCCACAAAGTTTAGTCTGCTGAATAAGACTGTGGCTGCTCTCAAGGTCAGGCTATAGGAAGCAGGAAATTGATTCTGGGCTAGCTGCCTCACAAGTTATGACTTCTCTCCCAAATCCAGTCTGAGTTTTTCCCTCTGCAGAGGTTCAGGCTATTTGTGTTTTTGCATAGCATCCAGAATCACTACCCAAGTAACAACCTAGCCCTCAGGTGCTTCTTCAGGAACACTAAACCAAGCTTCCTGATTCCTCACCGAACAGTGGCACAGGACTCCTGGTCATTCCCAC